GCAATTTCCTTGCTGATAGAATGATCGCTGTGTGTGTTCGATTAATGTTTTGAATGCAGCGATCAAGTACGGTAAACAGTAGTGTGGTGCGGCGATGAAAAAAAAGTTGAGGACGGGAAAATCTGGCATGAATCACCGAAATTCCCCGCACCGCACCAGCAAACAGAGAACTCTTTCATCATTGCTGAAAGAAGCAACTAACTGGTTTCAATGCAAAGCTTTTGGGTGTTTGTGAATGGTCCAGTGAAATAAACAATTTCGCATGTACGCATCCATTCATCACACAATTTTGCACTATTTTTGACGTAACAAACTGCGATGATGTTTCCTGCAATGCGCACAAACTTGAACATGACAAAAACCTTTATCTCGAACATTAACAAAAATCGAGCGATTTAATGATTCATCAAAACTTTAATTGGCATTGAATAAATTTGATTTTAGCAAAAATTTGGGAACCGTTAATGTGGATACCTCTCCTCACAATCATTTCCCACCTGAAGTGGTCTGCTATCGCCGCACATTCATCGAGCATATTCAAGATTGATAAATTACCTGTGCTTATGCATTTGGCGACCGTATCTGGTAGTCTGTTACCCAAAACTCCTGGTTGTATTTGAATGCCGGTTATTTCGAAGCATGCTGCTCTGAGTCTGTCACAGTAATCGAATCCATGTTTTACTTTACATAAAACCAAGGGATCACCTGTAAAATCAGTGTATTAGTGAACCAAACGTAGCAACTGGATGAGGAGTTTTGTAGCTTTTGCTTTTAAAATAAGTGGACTGTTGCTGAGGAACATCAACTCGATTGCAAAGAAGCTTTCCACAAATATATTCAGTCATTTATGCTCACGACTTTCCTAGGATTGATCTCAATTGATAGCACTGAGCATCTGCCACATGCACGATAACACTGTTCTCTCCCAAATGACTCCATTTCGACATATAGAACACTGTTTGAGGATAATGCTATTATGTTCTGTGGAGACAACCCTTCCCCCGCCCTCCCCACTCTGCAACTGCAGTTGTAACAGTGCAGCCATAATCAACATATTACGTGCACTACTTGGTCATAGCATTTCGGATTTTTCTCATAACTATTTTTGATCAATTTGGAAGTTCAGCTTTTGATGAATTTTCTCAATATTTTATCATCGAAAGATGACATAAGCGTTCCAAAACCCACTTGTCGATATGCAGTCGAGTATGGACCTCGGTATCTTCTCAAAACGATTTCCAGTGATCGTGACACCAAGCATCGTAGAGCACGTAATCACAAGTTGATAGCAGAAACTTACTCCATGCTTGGAAATGCATGTCTGTAGTGCACCTCCCTCTGAAACACTTCAGCTCACTGAATCGTATTGAATGTTTCATTTGCTTGGCAATTTCGCCGATAGATGCTCACTATGAAACACTTCAGAAATGTTTTTAGTTTGTTCGCAACACATCGTCAAAGGTTATGATTTTAATAGGGGAAGATGACTGACGCTCTTCCACACATTGCTTCTGTGCAATTGTGAGCTTCCCAGTCGTTATCACTATATTACAAGCTCTCATCCATCGATTACAAACTTCAGCACCACTTCGAATATAGCAAATCGCTGCATAGGTTTCTGCAAGTACAAATAAGTGAAGCGCCATGTCTTTTTACCAAAAGCTGGTATAAGCAGCTTTTTTGAGTCCGTTAGATGCTCGTTTTGCATGAAATAATCACCTGAGACCAACTGCGTCAGTNAACACTGAACTCTTATTTCACTTCTCCCACCACCAAAATTTTCTAGTTTACGCTACACAACAATGTTTTCTCCACCCTCTCCTTCTCTGGTGTTTCATGGCCATGATTGATTGAAAAAACAAGTGCATAAATCAAAAATAATGCTTGAGTGATTTGTTACTCAGATGACTGAAATACCTGTAGTTATGCAGGTAGCAATTACAGTTGGCAGCTTGTAGTCAGAAATAGATGTCATCTCTGGAATTGGTACGTTAAATATTTGTCCACAAACAACTACAAGTTTGTTGCATAACTCAGGATCGAACTTCGCTCCACATATAGCCATAGGATACTCTGCAATATCGTTCTTTTCCGACTGCTTAATATTGAAACGGACGAATTTAAGAAGAAATTTTCGGTAAGATTTCCATTTATTCATTTCTTTAGCTCAAATATGGAGCATTGCGTTTTATTCTAGGACTCACTTGCACATTGGAATCTGAAGGTAAGTCATAACTTCTTGCCTATCACGGATGACTATCAGTCACATTCAACAGATGATAACTTGCTAATATCAGCTGTTTTGATCAAGAAAGATATCGCCGTGTTCATGAATCGTAAACATACCCGAGGATATGCATATTTGTACGTTTTTCGGCAGCACATGCACAGAGACAGTAGGAACTGACACGCCGAATAATGAACAGCACGATGCTTCTAGTTTATAGCGAAAGCCATCGCCATACTTCTTG